ATGATATGTTTGATGATTTATTGTATGAAATATCTGATTTTAATGATGAGCCTACAAATGTTGATAGCACTGTAGTAGATTATAGTTCTCCTGTTGAGCTAATTTCTGAGACAGATTCATCTACTGATTGTGTTAGTGTTTCTGATTTTGAACAAACAGTCATTGAAAGCTCTTCACAGAAAGGTATTCTAATAAATATTAATTGTAATGAAGCTGACTCAGAAAATGCAGGACGGAAAGTAACAGAGAATCAAGATATAAGATATGTATTTTCAAGCGATCGTATGAATTTAAGTGATTGTCGAAGTGATAATAGTGACGATGATAACTCTAGTTGTGACACTGAAAATCCTGATTGTGACAAAACTAATAGTTTTAAAAAATCGCGTAGATCACGTCGTGTAGTTAAAACGCCAAACTATTTGGCTGATTATGAGCTTTATTGAAAAAAAAAAAGCGTGTTCTATGATTAGTTTTTAAGTTGTTTGTTACCCAACACTATTAGTTTTTAGTTTTGTTCTTTGTACTAATTTATTAATTTATATTTAACTTGGCATGACATACAGGTAATATATGTCATGAAGGAGAAGGTGGTTTTTAGAGAATGGCAGTTAGACACGACTTGTCATGAGAATAAAGTTTGTAATAAAAAAGCTATTTAAAAAGTAAGTGTTTCAATATTAAAATATACAGAAAAATTAATAAAACTCTAAACCAAGTGTACAATAAAACAGGAAGTAAAACAAAAAATGATAAAGACTTCAATTCCAACACAATTCCACCTTGCTGGAAATCATTAGAACAATAGTATATTTCCTAACAAGTGCGGAAAGTGCCACTTTTCCGCACGCGATTGCAGTTTGCCGAACGACGCGTAGCGGATACGTGTTTGCGTGCGGAAAAGACACTTTGCGCACGTGTTAGGAACAAAATTTTTCCTACGAGCTTCATATCAGGTAGGTAATAAAAAAAAAAATTAAAAAAAAAAACGATAATTTGTTTAATTATTTTTAATTAACTTGAAGGGAACCTATGCATTTATCAAAAAATTACATAACAAAAAAAAATAACAGAAAATCCTCGTCAGAGCTGTTCATCTTAAAGCGTTTGATGAGAAAGTTTGTAGATTTTTGCATATAAATAGAGAACAAATCTGACAATGTGTCAAAGTTAATTTATTTTTGATGTTGGCTAATATAGAAACAGAGGAAAAATTTGTCATCATGTGTCAAAGTCGACAGGTGCACTTATTGTTGCTTGACAATTATAATTACTTTTCGGCACTCAGTGCGGATAAGGCCTGTATCCGCACTGAGTGCGGAAAAGTGTAACTTTGAGCCCGGAAATGCATGCGGAAAAGTACTACTTTGCGCACGCTCGTAGGAAAAAAAAATTACGCACTATCTATGTGTAAATTCAATATGGCTCAATGCTACCGATCCTTGCTGTGCGAAACTACAACCTGAAGCTTGCGGCTCGTACGGGGATGATTGCTTTCTAAAGCCAACTGAATTCCTCGGGGATCCAACGCCGTTACAAGTTGATGACATTTTGCAGGCTACAAATGAGGAGAATGATAACGACACTTCAGAATTGGATTACAATATTGCAAGTTCAAACTTGAATAAAACCTTGAGAACAATTTTGCCTACACAATTTCTTCTCGAGTGGTATTCGTCATGACTATTTCACGTAAGATTTTGAAAATAAATAGAATGCAAAATTATTAATAAAAACTTCAAATTAAAAATACCAGTTTGACAATGTCAAAAGATGGTCACTGAAATACCATGTTGTTGGTATTGTCCAGGTAACATTATTGTCAGGTGAATACCGAATTTATTGCTGGTGTAATACACTCTAGTGAAATAGTCATAACAATTATTACTTTTTTCCGGCGTTTCATGAGCAGCTGCTATCCTGATTCCTGCATCCATCTCTTCCGACATAATAATATATACCTATAGCGCTCGCAGTCACGCCTTACTTTCAAAACGAAAATATTGTCTATTGAAATCGTGGCAACCACTAGCCTTGCCACGATTTCGATAGACAACCATATACCATTGGATTCGCAATAAAAAAATCTACATTTCCATATTTGATTTTTTAGGGAAAAGAATGAGGGTAAATGATTCCTTGAACCCACCTGTTTACACCTGGTTGGCAGGTATTCTTGCCAGAAAATAGGTAGCCAACCATGTTGTGGCGTCTTCCACATGTTGTTTGCCTTCAATTTATACCAAATTTATTTAGGAAAAGAATGACCGAAAATGGGACAAAAAAATCAATCAAATAATATTTAATTAAAAATAGCCTTGCCAGGATATGGACTGCCAACCACCCCGGAATTTATTTATCTATACATTTTACTGCAAAAAATATATATTTTATCAAGAAAAAGGATGAGGGGTGTTATAGTAAAGCCGGATCTTCTACTATTAGGCTACATGCATTTAGTTTGCTCAGGGGTAATGAAAAAATTATTACTGTTTTGGATTAGGGGTAATATATCACTGCGGTTAAGCAAGGTTGACTTTGACGAGCTAAACCAACATCTATTAAGTTTAAGACAAAATATTAGTAAAAAGTGATGATTTTTTAAGACATCCGAGAGGATTACATGAAGTAGATAGATGGAAAGCAACTGAATTTAGGCAGTTTTTCTTAATCACTTGGCCAACTGTTTGTCAAAATGGATTAAAACCATCACAGTATATCCATTTTCTGTCACTTCATCGTGCTATACGCATTCTTGCACGTCCTGATCTTTGTCTAGTGCATAATGCATTCGCCATATCTTTATTAAAATATTGTGTCGAAAAGTTTTCAGATTTATATGGCAGTAAATATATCTCTCACAATATTCACAATTTAATTCATTTAAATGAAGGTGTTCTTTTACATGGAGGTTTGGATAATTTTAGCGCTTTTAAATTTGAAAATTATATGAGCGAAATTAAAAAATGTTCAAATCATCTAAATATCCCTTGGCGCAGTTTGTTAATAGAATTAACGAGAGGCGAGAACAGCTTCAGTACAGTTGTGATAAAAATACTCAAAAATACGTATTAATTAGTGAAAATAAGATATACCCTGAGCCAATGCTAGAAAATAAAACAGTTGAATCCTTTCTTAACATTCAAATAAAATATATGACATTTGGAATTTCAGTAAAAAATAAACTGTATTTATGAAATAAATGCAATAGTAAAAGCTGCCAGGATTCAAAAAATTATTCAGTGCATTGTGCATTTTAACAGGTGACATTTATTTAACTATAAAACGTTATAAAAAAATTTGAAAATTATTTAACTTGCCCTTGTGACTCAAAATTATTCCACTGTGGCAACTTGTGTGACAAAGAAGAAATACTTTCGATTAATAGCATTGTAACTAAGTGTCTTAATTTTAATAATATCGTCATTACAATAATTTAATTTAGTGGCAGGTTATAAAATAATTATCCTATCCAGGGAAAAACTCATTGGCGTCGTTTGAGGGGGGCAAGATGGTGCATTTGCATCTACCCGGAACTCAACTTACTAAAAACATACTACTTTAAAAAAAAAAATTCGTTTGTTTCTCTACTTTGGGGCGTTTGTGTGTTGTTCAAAATAATTTAGGTTAGTATGGGCTACTAGGGGCCGTTTGCACGAGTTCCCCTCAAATATGCTACTTTGCTAATGGCTATTTGCACGGCTACAGCTTAAGGGATATTTAATCTAAGTGGAGCTTTGAATGTGACTTTGGTTTCTCCAAGAGTCACATTCAAAGCTGCACTTAGATTAAATACTCTCAAGTTATAGCGGTGCAAATAGCCGTAAGTGTTACTTAGATCAGGAGGACCCTCAAAATGTATATGCATTGCACAGTTCCAGTTTACCGATGGCTTTGCTAAGCAGCAGAAAGTAGTGGCAACGTCGGTTTTTTTGGGATTTTCTGCCAGCTTCGTGTCAAGTGTCAAAACACTTTTTCCTTTTTTTGAAGTTGAGTTTTCTGTTTATAAATAATTCGTTATTTTGTTTTACTTTTGAGTTTCAAAAATATTCAGAAGTTATTTATCTTATCTAAAAAAAGAAGCAGAAAAGTTATAAAGAATGCAGAGCTTACTAGCTGTAGCGACCAAGGGCGAAGATATGGGGGGGGGGGGGTAGAAGGGGTAATTGCTCCCCCAGATCTCTTTTTTTAGGTGAATTTGAAAAAAAAAAAAACAATATTTTTTTAGATGAAAAATATTGGGGCTTCCGGGTTAAGTAATATATTATTATCAAATTAAAATTCTTTGTTCTTTGCAAGTTGCAAAGCTAGCTGCTAGAATGAGTATACCTACATTTATTTTAAGAAAACTGTATTATCTAGTACTGTTGTCTGTTGGTAAAAGCCGTGCTGCCACAGTTTTACACTAACATTGAATCAGTTTAAGTTTAGTACATTCCCAGAAGAACATAAATTTGGCCATATACACCATTCTTCGATATGCGTTCGGTTTACTTACTTGTTCAGTGCTCACACTGCCTATGACGTCGCGATAACCATGCTCATACCATAGAGAAACATAATACATAAAGGAGAGTGTCCGATTCTGTTAAAAAAAAAAGGAATAGCGTTTGATCGAAGCGCACCAGTGGGGATAATAGGAACTACAGTCGTTGTATCAATCGATAAGGCAGGTACCTACGCTTGAACCCAAAAAAAAAGGCGGGATATTTAAATGGATGTTTTTGATCTGAATTTTGTTTGCAGCAAATAAATTTCGAAATAAATTGAAAATATATTTTATTAGTAATAAAAGCAACAAGAGCACAACATAACTTTTTATTAAGAAAAAATATAAAACAAAAATCATAATTCTCCTTAAGTACTAGCAAAACAAATAAATAACTTAATTTTCAAACCAAAATTTCTTCTTAAAGAAAGAAAAAAAACATAAAAATGAATAATATTCTTATTATTAACAAAAAATATCAAACGAAAATAATAATTCTTCTTACGTACTAGCAAAACAAACCTAACCCAAATTTCTAGTAGGAGAGAAAAATATATTTTTACAGGTGTTTCATCTTTTTTAATTCTCATCTTGCCTGTTTTTTTTGTCTGATTTAAAATTTCTAGAAATGTCGTCATAATACTTTTTTGTCAAAAGTTCTATAGAAATAACAAGTATGTCACTTTGCATAATTTCTTTATGATCTACACAAGTATACCAATTAAAATCCAGATGACTTTTCAAAATTATTTTAATCTTATTTTTTAAATATGATATATACCCATATTTGGGTAATATATAGAAAACACAGTCGTGAATTTGTGCTAAATAATAACTTATTTCTTTGGTTACGTAAAATAGACTTTTTTTGTTATCTGTAAATTCCTTAAATAAGACAAACATATGCTGGGGTTCGACTGTTTCTGACAACAAATTAGCAGCACATTGTTTGCATTCTCTATGTAATTTAATTTTTTTAATCAAAAATCCAGCTGCATAAGTGCATGTATTAGCATCATGGTCTGTAAAATCAAAATTGGTTGATGGTAGTATTATATTTTCAATCTCATTAGACTCTAATTTTTTTAAATTTACAAAATCCAATATATCAGTATTTAAAAAACTCTGCAAATTGTCAAGAATACTAGTGCCATCCATCTCACAATTTCGATTTGAAACGGGTGTTACTAAGTTGTTGAGAACGGATGTTTTAAAGCAACTAACAAATTGGTAGCAATTTGGGTTTGTATTTTCTGCCCCAAAATGCCTTATAGATGAAAACTGATTTTCCAGTGGGTCTGGGTTTAGAGAACGCGTTCTTAAAAATTTAAAACCCATATTTCTACATACACTCCACAATTCTTTTGTGGCATTTATAGTTGTTAACCAACCAGTTTTAAATGGCATTCTGGATTTGGCAACAGACCCAGATGAAGACTTGGATGGAGATATAAACTCCCAACTATTGATTTTTGGAAGAAGCTTATTCCAAAGTGCAAAGTGAGGAGATTTATCAGATAAACACCTACGATATGGTTTTCCACACTCTGGCTTAGGTGTTCTACCATTGAAACTATCAAAAAGTTGATCCATGTCATGCACAAACTCTGCAGTATCAATGGCCTGTGATGGTAAATTGTTTTTCGGATTGCTAACCATTTCTTCAATAGTGGCAGCAACAGTATGACTCAAAATTCTAGCAGCTATTGAAACTTTCATTTTCAATCGATTGTTTTGGAGATTTAGATATTCTTCCCGAATACGCCTAAGAGCTTGGAATCTATGTAAAAACAGCGTCTAATGTGAGTCATTTTTGGAAGTTTACATTTATTATATTTAATGTCATATTTTAGAAGAGCATTTCTGGTATTTTTTAATAAATGAGGTGGGTCAAAGATTTTAAATACTTTCTGATTATTAACAGTGAAATAGGGACCAGGTCTAGATTCTTCTTTGCAAAGCAAATTTATAGCAGAACGATTTGTAGGTCCTTGATCGCAAACAGTACATAAAATATTTAGTCCAATCTCCTCTAATTTTATAATAACGGTTTTGATTAAATTTTTTAATTGGTATGTTGCTATAGTATCCCGAGTAAAAAAATATGCAACTGGCTGCTTCCATTTTTTATGTAGGCCATTGAGCATAAAAGTTAGTGCATGAATTGCATGTTGGTTTTTACGTCCTAAGGGCCCTAGATCTATATGTCCAATAACCTTGTCGTTAAACTTATCATAGGTGCACTGCTCTGTCAAAGATATTTCATCAAAAATCAAAGAACAGCAACTATCTAATGGATTTAGTTTTTCAACTCTCTTTGATAGTCTTGTCAAAAATTGAGAATTTATACCTGCTTCAAAAGGAACCGATTTTAGCAAATTCTGTGTAGTTGTTTTGCTTGGTAACGGAATACCTCTTTTCAAAAATCTATAATATTTTGGCCCCCGTTTATATAAAGCCAAAGCAAAAACTTTATCCTGAAGGGTCCACGATGGTCTTTTAACTTCAATATTTGAAAATGAACTTTTAAAAAATGAACCCACTGCTGGATCTAACTTATCTTCCAAATCTTTAAATAGTTCCTTTGTAGAATATGCATAAGCAGTTTTTAACTTATTTTTTGAATTTTTAAGTCTATGTTTTAATTTACATATGGTATTTATTTGGGTTTTATTAAAAAAATAAAGTTTTTCTACTGACATTTCATAATACGCTATTAAACGATTAAAATCTGTATCATAATGAACTTCATTACGATACAGATTTTCATTATGATACTCATTTTTAATATTATACAATGTTGATAGATGGCAGCACTAGTTAAGATATTAAACATTTTAAATGGTAATTTTGCATAAAACAATTATTTTGATAACTATAAGAAAGACTCCGAATTGTTTAAAAGTTACCTGAAGTTTGGGACAAAGAATAATTATTATGGAAATAATGAATGATAAGGAAGAATTTTTACTTTTTTCATTATTGTACATTGTCAATAGATGGCGCCATCAGCTAAAAAAAATTTGATTTTTTTTTTTTGAATGTTGGCAGCACTCTGTTTATAGCTTTTCCATGGTAATTTAGCGAAAAACAATGATTTTATAAACAAAAATACCTCAAATTGTCATTAAAAGTTAGTACCTTAAGTTTGGAAGAAGGCATTATTATGTAAATATTGAGCGATAACGAAGAATTTTCACTAACACCTCCAGAAATTACAGAAAGGGCGACAAATGCAGGTAATAATATACTACCGGACAAGTCCAAGAAAATTTACAAAGAATTATATGGACAACTTATGGATTGGAAACACCAAAAACACATCATCCTTCTCAGAAAATGTTTTGATAGTATATTTTGAAGAATTACAACAAAAAATGAAACCTTCAACTGTATGGATTACTGAATTATGAAATCTCTATTCAAATTTATTTTATGGATCACGACCGTTAATAATTGATAATTTTCGAATAACTGGGAAACAGTCAGTATTATAGATTTATTGCTCTTTTACAATGGCCAAGCTTTCGAAGCCTTTTGCTTCTTCTTCAGGGCTATAATAATATATAAAATAAATAAAAAATTAATATAATATAAATTAGAAATTAAATAAAAATTTTCATAAACTTTTTTTAAAACATACCTTGTAAGTGAGTCTATCGATTTCTCTGGTTGTTTTTAAGTTTTTTCATTTATGATATAATATAGATTTTTATAAAAAGTTTTTAATATAAATGTATAATGGAAATTATTTCAAAAAATGTAAAATATGGTATAATTTTTTTGAAAATTTAGATTTGTGTTTGATAGACTTGACAATATAATGAAGGTAATCTTTGAAGGTAATAAACCGGTATTGATTAATATAAATTAGGAATTTTTTTTATCCAGAGATAACAAATAGGAATATATTATGCTCAAATTACTAATTTCTGTTCTTTCATTGATTGAATTTTTTTGTTTTTGTATTTCCGTCATTTCCAAAAATAATCTTTTATTTAAATTCTTTTCTGTTTGTAAAATTTTGATGTTATTGTAATTAGGTCGATGTCCAGTATCAAATGAATGTTTAGCTATAGCACTTGTTTCTTTTTGCAATCGTATATCACTTTTGTGTCCAGACATTCTGTTTTTTATGGTTTGTGATGTTTGACCTATATAGATCTTATCACAGTTTGTGCAAGGTAATTCATAAACAACATTAGTTTTTAATTCTATTGGATCTTTATCTTTTATTTTTGTATTTAAATTACCAATAGTTTTTATGATTTTAAAAGAAATTTTGACAGATTCATTTTTGAAAAGATAATATTAAAGCAACAAATTCTGGAAGATATATTAATTTTAACTCATATCATAGTTATAGACACAAAATTAATCTCATCTTGACACTTAAAAACAGAATTGAGAAATTAGTTCATCCATCATTAAAAGAATTAAACTTTAAAAAATTAAAACAGATTTTATTAAAAAATTCATATCCGAATGCATTATTAAATAAAATTATTTTCAACAACAATATTATTAATGATAATAATAATAACCAATTATCTAACGAGTCAATAATACAAAATAATTCTATTAATGTTCAAAATACTCAACAACCAAGATTTTATTATGCTTCAATACCATACATAAAAACACTTTCAGAAAAAATTGCTTATCTTTTCAAAAATGAATCTGTCAAAATTTCTTTTAAAATCATAAAAACTATTGGTAATTTAAATACAAAAATAAAAGATAAAGATCCAATAGAATTAAAAACTAATGTTGTTTATGAATTACCTTGCACAAACTGTGATAAGATCTATATAGGTCAAACATCACAAACCATAAAAAACAGAATGTCTGGACACAAAAGTGATATACGATTGCAAAAAGAAACAAGTGCTATAGCTAAACATTCATTTGATACTGGACATCGACCTAATTACAATAACATCAAAATTTTACAAACAGAAAAGAATTTAAATAAAAGATTATTTTTGGAAATGACGGAAATACAAAAACAAAAAAATTCAATCAATGAAAGAACAGAAATTAGTAATTTGAGCATAATATATTCCTATTTGTTATCTCTGGATAGAAAAAATTCCTAATTTATATTAATCAATACCGGTTTATTACCTTCAAAGATTACCTTCATTATATTGTCAAGTCTATCAAACACAAATCTAAATTTTCAAAAAAATTATACCATATTTTACATTTTTTGAAATAATTTCCATTATACATTTATATTAAAAACTTTTTATAAAAATCTATATTATATCATAAATGAAAAAACTTAAAAAAAACCAGAGAAATCGATAGACTCACTTACAAGGTATGTTTTAAAAAAAGTTTATGAAAATTTTTATTTAATTTCTAATTTATATTATATTAATTTTTTATTTATTTTATATTATATTATTATAGCCCTGAAGAAGAAGCAAAAGGCTTCGAAAGCTTGGCCATTGTAAAAGAGCAATAAATCTATAATACTGACTGTTTCCCAGTTATTCGAAAAAAATCTCTATTCAAAGTTAAGCATAATGTTGACATATCTAAATATCATAAGTTTTATCAATGGCAGTAGAAAAAATAGTGTATGCAACTCTTATGTAATGGCCATTAATACACTCGCATGTTATATACGAAACTCGACTGCGGCTCGTTTCGTATCCTACAACATGCTCGTGTATTAATGGCTATCATTACATGATCATTGCATAATATACTATTTTTCGTTCTTGGAGAAAGATTTTTTGCTCTTGTTTTCCCTAAACTTGCTAAAATATTTCTTGTTCCTTTTGATTTACAACGGGTACTATTATTTTTTAATTTTGATGGTTGGCCAGGAGATCCAAAGTGAACTTCTTCAAAAGAAGGTATCTCAGTGGTATGATATTTTATTGTGGATGAGTATCGAGGACGAATTTGGATATTGCTCGTTATGTTTATTTTAGAAACAGCAGTCGATTCATTTTCATTAAGAGAAATTCTTGGTCTTTTAGAAGCTGATGGAAAACAACTTTTTTCAGTATTTTCACCAGTTTCTGAAAGATTTTTTTTTATGAAAATATTCAGGTTCAGTTAGGGTTGCCAGGCGTCCTGGATTTCGCAGGATGTCCTGGATTCAGGGTCTTGCGTCCTGCGTCCTGCCGGAGTTGTCCGCAGGACACCAAGTGTCCTGCATTTTATAAAATCCTTACTCTTAGAATATAAAAAAAAAAAATACTTTTATTTCGGCTGAGCTGTTTTATTCTGCGCGAAGATTCATCACCAATTTACGAATAGGAACGCGGCGTACGCGTATGCGGCATAGCATGACGATGACAATCATTTTACCAATTACATAGAAGCGCAAAGCGCGATCAAGAACTTGCAGCTCAAATTCTTGGGGGTGGCGCGCATCATTTTGATAATTCCTCCTGTAACAGCTTGTTTAGTGTTTATTCAAATTAATTTTGATATTCTTGGTAGGTCTGTAGGTCCATGATTATAAGTTAAGCCATGCGCCATGACATATTATAGGTATTTATTGTTTTTAATTTATATATTATATGATAGGTAGCCATGGATAGTTCGGAATCGGATTGAGAAAGTGCTAAAACCCCACCGAAAAAACTTAAAAGGCTGAGTAAATATAGAAAAGAGTGGGAAACTCAGTTTTCCTGGCTTAAAGAAGATGATAGTTTGTTAAAAGCATATTGTAGCTGTGTAAAAAATCGTTTTCATTTGCTTATGGAGGCCTTGGAGAGATAAG